CTAACTTAACAATTGAGCTTAGAAGCGAGACCTAATTCGGCATACTAATTTAAATTACAAGTTAATATATTTTGACATTATGCTCGAACATACTTCGACTACATCATACAAAACTCCTGTCGAATCATGAACCTACCTTTGTCGACACTAGAGTTCGATCCAAATACCACAAATCTCCACCTCGGAACAAACTCTATAACAATGGAACAAACTAGATTTTATCATGCAGCTTTATCAACTGCATACAGTGGAAAAACTTGCTACTTGGCAATGTCTTGATGATCATATCAACAACATTGTCATCAGTGGAAACCTTCAGCACTTGGATTTCTCCACGCTTGATTATCTCTCTGAAAAAGTGCAGTCTCACATCGATGTGTTTGGTTCACTCATGATAGGCTAAATTATTCGATATATGTATTGCGCTTTGACTATCACATTTAACAGCGATAACTCAACCTTGAAGTTTCAGCTCCTTAGCAAAACCTTCAAACCATTATGCTTCTTTCACAACTTTAGTGAGGGTGATATATTCTGCTTAAGTGGTTGATAAGGAAACAAGCTTTTGAAATGTTGCTTTTCAACTGATTGCTACGCTAAACATAGTGAACACATATCTAGAAATAGATTTTATGGAATCCATACAACTTGCATAATCAGAGTCGAAAAATCCTTCAATTTCGACTTTGTTATCATCACCAGAGGCTCAACCATAAATCAGGACTCGACTTAGAGACCCATTTATGTATCTAAGAATCCACTTTAATGCTTTCCATTGGGCCTTCCTAGGATTGACCACATACCTGCTTACAGGGCTCACTCTGTATGTTATGTCTGGCCTCGTACATATCATGGCTTACATCAAAGAACCTATAATACTAGCATATGAAATGTTATTCATATAAGCTCTTTCGACTTTAAGATTATAATTTGAGTCGTACTCAACTTGTACTGAGGATTAGTCGGTGTTAGGGCAAGATTTAAATTCGACATACCAAATTTGTCGAGAATCTTCTCCAGGTATGTCTCTTGAATAATCATAATCTTGACTACTTTCTATCTCTCCAGATGTTAATCCCAAGAATTATGGAGGTAGCTCCCAAATCCTTCATGTCGAACTCCTTATCGAGTTCATCCTTCACCTTCATAACATTTTCGACATTGTTGCTTGCTATGAGGATGTCATCCACATAAAGTAATAAAATAACAAGTAAATTTCCAAGTCGAAATCTAAATTAAACACAATGGTCGAGCTGGCTTTTAGTGAAACCAATGTGTGCCATAAAATTGTTTAATCTTCTATTCCATTGTCGAGGAGATTGTTTCTAGCCATACAAGGACCCATTCAACTTGCACACATAATCTTCCTTTCTTTTTTCTGCATACCCTTCAGGTTGCCTCATCAGGATTGTTTCATCTAGATCACCATACAGGAAGGTTGCATTCACATCCATCTGTTCAAGTTCTAGGTCGAACTTTGCCATCATGGCTAACGACATTCTAATAGATCTATGCTTTACAACATGTGACAACACATCATTGAAGTCAAAATCTTCTGAGTGAACCCCCTAGTAACCAACCTTGCCTTAAAATGCTTTGACATCACTCCTTCAATTTCTTCCTTAACCTTGAAGATCTACTTACAACTGACTAACCTTCCCTTGCAAGTTTCTCGATCAGCTTCCAAGTGTTATTATCATGGAGAGATTTCATCTCATCATCCATAGCTTTCAACTATTTAGTTTTGACTCAAGTTCTCATAACTTCCTTATAGTCTCTAGGATCTTCGTCCAAAACCTCACTTGTAGATATTAAGGCATAAGCCATAAGATCTGCATAACCAAGTCTTTGAGGTAGCTTGATGAATCTTCTCGACCTGTCTTTTGCCAAAAGGTAATCCTTATATATCTCCTTAACTTCAATAGTAGCTTCTGCATCTTCTTTGAGTCTTCTGATTCATGCAATTCAACATTATTATACTTCACCTCAACAAGAATCTCTTCTTGTTCCATCTCTTCTTCATATATCTTCGAACTTTGACCAATGTCATCAGTTTTCCTGAAAGGTGTCCCAGCTTCATTGAAAACTAAATATCGACTTGTGGTACACCTTTTATGACTTGGATCTAGGCACCACAGTCTATAAGCTTTGACTCCTTCAGGGTATCCAAGGAACATACATCTCAGAGCTCTAGGTTCGACCTTGTCTTGCATAATATGAGCATAGGCTAAACAACCAAATACTCTAAGTATGTCGAGACTAGGTGGATTTTTCGACCAAACTTCTTCATGTGTCTTCATTTCCAAGGTTGTCGAGGGACGCCTATTTATCAAGTATGCTGCAGTCGAAATAGCTTCTATCCAAAACACCTTCTTCAATCCTACACTTACTAACATGCACCTCACCCTTTCCAAAATGGTTCAATTAAACCTTTCATCCAAACCATTTTGTTGGGGAATCTCTGCAGTAGTTTTGTGCCTTGCAATACCATACGCAACACAATAGCTGTCGAAAGCCTCATTGCAAAATTCAAGACCATTTTCGGTCCTCAACCTCTTGACCTTCCTGGCAGTTTGTTTTCGACCAGAGTCTTCCAACTTTTGAAATTTTCAAAAGTTTCATCCCTAGTTTTTTTGGAAGAATAGCCATAACAGTAATTATCAACTATGGATAGAAAATATTTTCCACCTGAGTGTGAAGGATTTCTTGCAAGCCCCCAAAGATGAACATGAATGTAAGTAAGGGATCCATCTGTTATTTGTTTACATTTGTTAACTTCATTCTATAGGATTCACCTAATATACAAGGTTCATAAAACTCCAGTTTTTCTACCTTGTCACCACCCAGCAGATTTTGTTTCGACAATTAGACTAGGCATATTTCACTGACATGGCCAAGTCTCTTGTGCCATGGCTCAGTCTTTGAGACATGTTTCATGGATGCCACATCTGCTGAACCACTTACAACATCAACCTCAAAGGTATATAAGCTTTGTTTCTTCACGCCTCTCAAGACTTCCTTGGACCCTTTCATTATCCTTAGGATGATTTGCTCTCCTTTGAAAATATATCCTTTCTTTTCGAATTCACTAAGAGAAATTAAATTCCTCTTAAAATAAGGTACATACCTAACATCAGTCAATAGCCTTATTAACTCATCATGGAGCTTGAAGCTCACAAATCAAATACCTGCAATTTTGCAAGCTTTGTTATTTCCCACCAGAACTGATCCATCATCTTGATCACACAATTCCTCAAATACGTCTTTGTTTGGATTCATGTGTCAAATACACCTTGAATTCATAATTCATTTCTTGTTATAGTCACTGCTTAAAACCACCGGGACATCAGATGATTCATAACCATATTACATAATAGTTGCATTAACATTATCTTTTCCACCATAATTGTTCACTCGATCAGGGCATACTTTTCTTTTATGACCCTCCTTCTTACAATGATAACATTTAATAGTAAGAGAATTATCACCATAAGAATTATGTAAAACTTTACCCTTCTTCTTCTCAAACCTACCATCTTTCTTCAAGAATTTCCCCTTAACGAACAAACCTTCACCAACAAAAGATGGATTGTGCTCCTTTCATTCGTTCAAATTCTTAGAGTACAAGGCAGATTGAACATCTTCAAAGGTCAACGACTATCTTCCATACAAGAGAGTTTCTTTGACGTGAGCATGAGGCTTAGGTAAAGAGCACAACATCAGTAACGCTTCATTTTCATCATCAATCTCGACCTCGATATTCTCAAGATCAAGAGTCAACTTGTTGAACATATCCAGTTGCTCAGCCAAGGCTTTATCTTCACTCATCTTGAATGAATACAAAGCTTGCTTCAGGTACAGATGATTAACCAACGATTTTGTCATGTACAAACCTTCAAGTTTTGTCCACACACCAGCTGTAGTTTTCTCCTTTGAAAATTGGCGGAGAACCTTATCACCAAGGCTCAATACAATGGCACTGTGGACTTTTTCGACCATCGTTGTCTTCTCTTTCTCCGATAGGGCAGCGTCCATCTTCTTTGATCCTTTCAACACTTCTAACAAACCTTGTTGAATAAGAAGAGATTACATCTTCAAGCGTCATAACCGAAATCATTCGCACCAGTGAATTTCCCAATCTCATACTTTATTGACGACATCTTGTCCTCCACGCTCAGCCCACCTGTTTATTGTGAATTGATGTCGTCAAGAACAAATCAAAATGAGAAAAAGATTGAGTTTTTTGAACAAATACAAGAAACTCTATTAGGCTGTACAAAAGGGAGAGAAGAAGGAAGAAGAAGAATAAGAATTTGTTAAATTTGTTTTACTATTCACTTTATCAATAAGGGTTCAAAAATTACAAGTGAATAACGATAATTAACCTCTTTCAACAACCTGAGAGAACTAGTCTATTTATAGACTACTAAGCTAACTTATGATATAAGGTAGCTTAACAATTGGGCTTAGAAGTAAGACACAATTCAACATACTAATTTAAATTACAAGTTAATATATTTCGACGTTATACTCGAACAAACTTCGACTATAGTATATACAACTCATGTCGAACTATGAAGTTATCCTTGTTAACATTAGAGTTCAATCCAAATACCACAAATTAGAATTTAAAAATTATCTTTGTCTTTGAGAGAGTTTTCTCATCCATTGTACTAACTCGATCAAGAGAATAAATAGTTAATATTTAATTAAAAAAACAAAAATATACAAACACCTCTTTAGAAAGTTTAAATTTTATTACAAATTCTAACACTAAATGCATAAGGATAAAAAGTCATAAGGATAAGTAGGGACGCAAGAGTTTTTAGGTCTTAAGGAAAATTATTCATGGCCTACCAAGAAAGCTACACATAAACCTAAAGTTAACATAATTATTCAATTACATATTATAAATAGGTAACAAGTTCTCCACAACTTTTCCATTCCACCATAAACTCATTTCCTTTTTTATCTTTTACTCATTCCTTGATTCAATCATCATGGCTGAGGAGAAGCACCACCACCTTTTCCACCATGAAGATAAATCTGGTTATGTTGAAGAGGTTGACTATAGAAAAGAGGAGAAGCACCACAAACATCTTGAGCACCTTGGTGAGCTTGGAACTGCAGCTGCTGGTGTCTATGCCTTGGTAATAATATTTTTTATTTCCAATATAAATTTTAAACTTTTTTTTCAGCGCATATTGTCTGTTTATATTATATTTTTTTTTTATAAACTTTAAATTTTATTATATATTTTTGATTTAAATAATATGTTGTTTCTTATAAGTTTGCGAGTTTTTTAATTTAATTTTATATAATTTTTATGAATTCTTATATTTTATTTTTTGCGTACAATTTAATCTATAAAATTTGAATTTATAGTAAAATCCGCAGGTTCTTACTATTTTTCTTCAAAATTTCCTACAAATTTTAACTTTAAGACTTAACCACCCGCAATAAATAAAATATAGAGATTAAGATAAAAAAAATTATAGGAATTAAACTTAAAAACTCACATGATCTAATGTACATTTAAGTCTATATTTTTTATTTAGATTTTTTAAAAAAAATATTTGAAAGAGGTGAATTTATAAAATAAATTAAAAATTGAATGATTGATTTATAATAACATGGTGTTCAACATGTTTGAATTTGATTTAGCACGAGAAGCATGAGTCAAAGAAAGACCCTGAACATGCTCACAAGCACAAGATAGAGGAGGAGATTGCGGCGGCAGCCGCCGTGGGATCCGGTGGTTTTACCTACCACGAACATCATGAGAAAAAAGAAACTAAGAAAGAAGATGAAGAAGCTCATGGCAAGAAGCACCACCATATCTTTTGATGAACATGATAATTATAATCATAATCAAGCTCAGAAAGATCACATAGGGTTTGTTATGTGATATTTGCAGGGTATTTAAATAAAGTTTGAGCTATGGTTTGGAGAGTGTTTGACTTTCTATAGTTTGTTATTTATTTGCATATATAAAGTTTGTATTGTGTTTGTCTATACAATATTCATGTTATAGTTATGTATAAACACTTTATGATGTGTGTAAAGAAAAGTTTGAACGGTAACTCAAAGAATGTGATCTAGTGATGAAAATATAAGTTTCTAATTTATAGATTTTGGAATCGAATTTTATTGATGTTTCGAATTATTCACATTTTTTATGAAAACGATCAAAGTGGTCACTTAAATTTATGATAAAATTCAGTGCATCGGCTAACGTTGATTTGTTGATTTCTTAAATTACAGTCTTTTTTTTTTTTTAAGTGCAGTTGCAATTGCGAATGTGGCTGTGGGTGTATATTGCAGCTATTGTGATTATGAATGTGGCGACTACGATTATTGCAGTTGCGACTGCAGCATTTGCAACATAAATTTTAATTAGGATAGATTTGAAATATATCTCTAAAACATGTTAAGATTTTTCCTTACATAAATACATTGAGTTTTTGAATTCTGAAATTTTGATGAAAATATATTTAAAACATGAATGAAATTTCTATTGACGATTTGATATATTGTTTTAATTCAGACAGCTTAATATGATTATAAAAATTATCGCATCTGTAATATTATAGTAAGAATCACAATTACGAACTACAATTTAAAATTATAATTAAAAAAGTTTTATTTCTAAAAGATAAATGTTAGACTTTTTTCTAAGTTTCTAATGTCTTTCTTCTTCTTTAAAAAAAAGGTCTGAATAGAGTATGAGACATCTTCTTTTCTTTAAAAAATGTCTGATTAGGGTATGAGAGTTCAAATTTTTTAATTATTTAGTGATGGTTAAGTCTAAGGTGAGGGTTCAATTAAGTTCCTCACCGGTGAAACTCCAAACAATAACAAATAGATTAAATGGATAATTTAGATTTAATATAATTAAAATAAGAACATGTAAAATCAATTACAGGTAATATTTTTTACACAAATATTACACCATTCTTACTTTTCGTAAAAAAAATTTCAGGTAAAATTTCAGGTAAGAATTTGTTTCATTCTAATTCACAAGCTCATCATCTTTATTATTTTTCATGGTAATTAAAAAAAAGACTTTGTCTCAAAAAGTTCCAAAAAATGCAACCTGCAACAAAGAAACAAGGTTTTACTTCTACTAATTTTCTCTCTATCGTTTATCGATTATTTTCCTTTATCTTAAGATTTCTCAATCCCTATCTTAAGATTTCTCAATCCCTTAACACACAACTTTCAACTCTTTTCAGATTGTCACCGTCAGAGGCTCTCAGTAGCTTTCTTCTCTGATCAGATTCGATTTTGCTGATGATTTCAGTCGGCGTTTTCGAGCGAGGGTTTTGTGAAAATCAATTCAAGTTTGTATTTATAGCTTTTACATAGTTATGTTACCAATTTGCTTGTAATTTCTAGTAATGGGCCTTGGTGGTGCTATATCTAATGGTTGACAAAATTGTATATATTTTCTTTTTATAACAATGTAATGAAATGGGCTTTAAGAACAAATCAATGTGTATTGGCCTTCCTTTTTTCTTTTTGGCGTACATGAACCTCTCCTTGTGAAACGAAACAAAAAATACAACAAGTTTAATGCATAATGATATCCAATATCTTTGTATAGGTGGACTTGTAAATAGTGGACATAAAATGCTAATTGCACCTTCCAAATTTATTTGAATCAAAACTCCGAGAAGTATCATCATACAACAATTCCGCTCCTAAAAATGATCTTGAATAAATAAGGGGAATTAAATTCTCCTTTGAATCATTATCCAACAATGGGAAACATAGAATCTAGGACCAAGAGCCATGTGCAACGTCACACATACCCCATCTGACTCGATGCACTTTGAACACAAGCTTGAATAATAAGTAGAGACAACATATAATTTCTGGGGTTTTTGACTAACTGTCAGTGGACGGATATACAAATGAAATTATATAGGTTTGAACACAGTACCCCTTGGTTTTTAAAGATCACTTTTATCATTGTGCTAATGTATCAGTTCATAATATTTATGTCTAATATAATATATATTTATATTAAACCTTGACACAGTAAGAACTACATAGACCCACCATCTAAATTATATCCAACTTCCCCTATTTTTATGGAAAGAGTAACTTGTCATTAGAATATGTTACGGCAACTAATTGAACTCGTCACACAACACCTTCCCATCTCCCTTATTTTTCTGCAAATCGTTGAAACCATCACTACTTTCTTTTTCTTATAAAATCCTTAGGTTTCAAAGTTAAAGAAACACAAACTATCTCTCTCTGCTCTTTTTCTGTATTGACATACACACTACAAGAAAAGATAAAGATATGACTATTAATGGTGCTAGTAAGGAAACTTTACCTCACACAAATCAAAGAGATGCAATAGATGAGGTAATCCTTATCTCTTGTTACCTTCTACTAATCAATTTCTGATTTTACTTTTTTGATTTTCATTTTCTAACACGTTAATACTTATATGATGCTTTTACTACCCAGATTCACTCTCAATTTTTAAGCGAAATGCTTACTATTTTGCATGGTTTGAGATCCTCTGTTGGTGATGCCATAAACCGTCTTCAGGTATACATTTGTTGTATTTTGTTTTTTCATTCAAAATTTTCTAATTTCACCTTTTTAATTGTCCTTTATAAAAATAAATCATCCAGGTTCATGAATCTCACATTAATGAGTTACATACCATGGCTAACATCATGTTGAGCAAACTTGTCATCATAGAAACCAAGTTGGATAAGCCAACAAAAGCCTATGATTCAGATTTGAGTCAGAGTCCTGGACCACGGTCTAAAAGATGCGGAACTCCAATTTTAAAACAAAAACATGCTGCTAAGTCGCCATTTAACCGTTCGAAATATTCTTGGGAAGATAATGTTGATAACATTATCTTGATCACATCAGATGATGACACAAACAACAAAGTTGACAACAACATTAAGCATTCATTTATGCCTAACTTAACAAGCAAGGTATAAAATCAATTTATAATGAATTTATGTTTAATTGATTATTTTTGCTGTAACCATTATTAAATTTGTCATAGATGAAACACAAATTGTCTCCGATAAGGAATCAAGCAACAACATCAAAGAAATTGTCCTTCACACCTTTACCGAGAGCAACAACATCAAGGAGATTGCCCTTCACATCTTTATCCAATGAGAGAAAATTAAAAGTTCCAAAATTAGAGACTAAAGAAGATAAGATAATATCTAAGGTGAGCATCAATAAACTATATTTTTATATATTTTATTTGGTTACTTTGGATATCTAATCAATTACTTATTAACAGTTTGTTGAGACCAACTTCGTAACCACCCAAGATATGAAACTCCAACCTATAGAAGAACATGTTTCATATTATGTTTTTCATGCTAAGAATGATCCCAGGTATTATTTTTTGAAAAAGTAGTCATTTTTTAATTCCACGGTAACATGTAATGACATCAACCTATATATATAATTTTCTTATGCATTCAGTGAAGAATTGTTCAAGATTGAGACTCTAACATGCTTAAGAAATAATTTTCAAACTCTATGTCCGGGAAGGATAATTGACACTGAGGTACTTTAAATGATTGCAGCCTTATCAAACTTTTAAAATAAGTATTTGCATTCATGAGATAATTTTTTTAATTGATTGCAGATCATTCACATTATGTCTCTTAAGACAACTTGGATTGAGAGGAATGTTGCATTCCCGTCTATATGGTCACTTCCCCCATCGTTCGTGGTATGTATTCGTTAATGAAAATAAATTAACATATATATGCTTATTTATGGTGTGAAAAATAGTTTTTAAAATAATTCTTTTCATACATATGTTTGGTAGAGAGACGTATATCGTGGTACAACAATTGAAGACATGGTTAGTAAGTATGCAAAGAATTGGATGCCCCATTTTGAGAATCTAAAGCATGTATGAGTTTGGTATTATAAAGTATTAAATTTACCGTATATATATTGTAAATCTTTTGACTTTCTTACCCGTACTTTAATTTTTTTAGATTTATCTACCAATTGAAGATTGTGTTGGCAATTGGTTTCTGATGGTTGCCTCTGTCCAAGACCAAATTTTGTATCATCTAGATCCGGGCTTTGAAAAAAGAACTATAATCCCTAGACAAGAGACCATTAAAGAAATGGTAAAGTACTTGTGATGATTTATATTTGAATATTTCACTAATCTATTACCTTATAATGTTTACCAATTGAATTTTTGCAGTGGCAAGTTATCACTCAAATGGTGCAAATTATGGTGCAGACTAACTATTTTCCTCCCAACTTTCTATTTGAAGCACAACACTTAGATAATTGGGATATGGCTGAGCCCGTAGGACTTGTTTCAGAAGGATTTTGGTACTACAATATTTAATTCATTTTAACCATTGTGTATTCATTTCTATATATAAAACACCTTTCAGTCATATGTGATAATTGTTCATTTTGAATAAACAGCCAACACTCTGCGGTGTGGGTTTTACAATGGCTAGCAATGGGTTCGTCGTTTACACCAAACCTTCATGTCATGGTGGGTATCTTTAAGAGATAACATGGTCAACTAATTTTTGAATATTAAATATTTTCCTTGGTGCTAATATTATTAATTAATTTTGGCAGATGAATGAAGATGTTGTTAGAATGAAGGTGGCCATTGATTTGCTGCTAGGTGACCACAATGAACATAAAGAGATCTTGATGGACAAGGCTGAAAAAGCTTGGCACACTGAATGATGACTAGACATCAAAAAAATTCAGTTAGTTTTCTTTAGAACATTGTAGGCATGTCTACAATGGCCGCTTGCATTAGAATCAAGTTAATCCGTAGGAAATTTCCCTTTTTA